AGTTAGCTTGAACACTGCCACCAGATCAAAGTTTTACAGATATATAAAATTAATTTGTTATAGAAAAAGCCTATGTTTCTGAAACAGCAATTAGTTTCAATGTCAAAACTTAAAATTGTGAAATTGGCCCTAAGAGTATGAACCTGTTTACTATGTCTTCATAGATCCTCCCTCTGCGGATTTATCTTACAATTTATATCTTGAAGTTTTTATTGGTTCTTGTTCATGATGAATATAAGATCTACTATATATCGTTATAATATAACGATAAGTTGATAAAATACTAATCAAGTGCATGTATCAAACAGCTGGACTTTTTCACCACCGGCGATACAGCGCCATGCCACGTTCTCGATGGGAGTGAGGGAGTTCTGTTTGTTAAGAAACCGGACGGACGGGCCACCGGCGACGCCTTCGTGCTGTTCGCCCACGAGACGGACGCCCCCAAGGCGCTGGGCCGGCATCGAGAGTCCATCGGACAGCGGTACATCGAACTGTTCCGCTCCACGACCGCCGAGGTGCAGCAGGTGCTCAACCGGTCGATGGACCCCAAGAACTACGAGTCGGGCGGCGGACACAGCCAGCCGCCGCTGATCGCCCAGTTGCCCACGATGCAGCTGCCGCTGCTGCCGCAGGTGGGTGCCCACAGCCTCGCCCACAGCCTCGGAGCCAGTCCCGCTAACCTGTGCCCCCCGTGCCTCCCCCCGGTACCGCTCTCCCCCTCCCTCTCCCCACACAGCACCTCATCACCTCGGGCACCACCAAGAACTGCATCCGGCTGCGCGGACTGCCCTACGAGGCGATGGTCGAGCACATCCTGCACTTCCTCGACGACTTTGCCAAGCACATCATCTACCAGGGCGTGCATATGGTGATCAATGCGCAGGTGGGTTGGCTATTATTAAATTAGGTATTTATATTGAATGTCTGAATTAGCGGTTGTAATTCTAGTTTTTCAATTTTAAAAATCACAACTAAAGAGTTATCATGACTATTATTATTATTATAAAAATGTAATATAAAAGTTATTTATCATCTTAAATACTTGGTTAAATTTTCATCCAATGCGGTGCTAAGTTGTATTGATAAATAGGGAAAAAACAGATAAACAGAAATAGATCCCATTTTAAATATAATATTTTCCATATAAATTTTTATACCTTAGCGTAATATACATACATAGTATTTAATTTTAATATTTTCTTTGACCACTCTCTAATTCCTATATTCGTTGACAGGGACAACCCAGTGGCGAGGCCTTCATCCAGATGGACGCAGAGGATTCGGCCCGCCTGTGTGCCCAACGCAAGCACAACCAGTTTATGGTTTTTGGCAAGAAGTTTCGCTACATCGAGGTGTTCCAGTGCTCCGGCGACGACATGAACATGGTCCTCAATGGGGGACTCGCTTCGCCGGTGGCCCAGGCGCCGCCCCCGCACCATGGCCACGCCCACAAGCAGCAATCACTGCTGGCCGCCACCACGGGTATGTTCAGTTCGGCGGGTCAGTCGCCGACGAGCGTTGCCGCCGCCGGTACCGCTCAGTCGCCGCTCGGCGGCAGCCATTCACACACTCACCCGCACTCACATGCGCATGCGCACACCACACCAGGCCACGCCCATGCGGCTGCCGTCGCCGCCGCCGCCGCCGCCCACCACGGATTGTCCGCCTCGCCGGCAATGTTGCCGGGTCTTTCGGCCGCCGCTGCCGCCTCCGCCTCCGGATTGGCCTCCTTCATGGCCGCCAATCAGCCTGCGGCTGGCGTATCCCATTCCGCTGCCTCGTTGCAAAATGCCGCCGTGGCCTTGAGCCCACAGGGTTACGCCCTGAATCCCTTTTCCCTGCCACCGCCCGGATCTTCGGCTGCGGCTGCAGCCTCAACTCCTGCGCTGCTGGCCCAGCAGCAGGCCCAGTTTATAGCCCAACAGAGTTTGCTAGTGCGACAGCAGGCTGCAGCTGCCTTGGCCGCCGAACAGCAGCAGCAACAGCAGCAGCAGCAGCAGCAACTCTATGCCAGTGCAATGCAGCAGCAGCATCCGCTGTACTTCCAACTGCAGCAACAGCAGCAGCAGCAACAGCAACTGTATGCCAGTGCAATGTTGCAGCAGGGCCAGCCACAGTTTGTGCTGATGCAAAGGCCCTCGACCGCCTACTTGCCGCCCTTTCCGCTGGGCTATATGTCCGCTGCGGGGGCGGCATCCGGAGTGGGCGTGGCAGCGGGAGCAGGAGCGGCAGTGGCAGCGGCAGCCACTTCGGCCTCCGCCAGCAACTCGTCGCTGAGTCAATCGATGAAGCGGTCGTACGAGAACGCCTTTCAGCAGGAGGCAGCGGGAGCGGCGGCGGCGGCCAGTGCGGCCAAGAGGGCATTGACCCGACAGCCCGGCAATGTTTATTCGTACTATAACACTGGGCTATAGACCCCAAAGGTGTATAGTCTAAATTCGAACCTGAAATAAGAGCTCCAACTCCAGCACTTCGGGCACATTCCGCGAGTGGGTGGGGTGTTCATACATATAATATCTTCATTATGGCGCACACATAACCATATATCATGTATCATCATGGCCACCACACTTACACACACACACACACACACACTCACTTGCATACCAGACATTCTCTAGAGCTTAATTGATACCGATTTGGAATGTAGACTTAAGTACTTTTCTTGTACGGAGTACTAGTAGTAGCCTAAGCATATAATACTTGTCTATGGTCTAAGCAATTAATACTATATTTAATGTGAAACAACAACACACATACACACACACACACACACACACACCCACAAGCACTGCTCACCCATACACGCATAAGTACACCAGCTAACAGAGGGAATTTATAAAAGGATCAACGAAAGATCCTGATCACTTGTGTTCTCACCTATGGATTTTTTACTATTAATATGCTTGGTGTGTGTGTGTGGGTGCGTTTGTGGGGCAGGAAGGAGTATATAGCCTCGATATAGAGGGATATATATGCTTTGCCTGTCCGATTCGAAGGCAATCAACAGAGGCTAACGTTGTTCATGGAGGGAGCGAGATTTAGTGGGAGGGTGGGTACAGTGGCCACCACGCCCACTCTGTGCAATCTAATTTTAGTGTTTATCCTTTGGAACCCCCTTTTAATAAAGCCACCAATCCGATCCCCCCATAAGTTCCACTTCCCCCATGAACCACGTCAGGTGTTGGCTCAAGCGCAAATTTAAGCTGAATTTGAAAGCGAAACCGATAATTGTTTACGTGTTAAGCGAGTATCACCCTGTTCTGTAAGACAAACCTTTTTGAATTACCCAACGATGGCCTTTCGATTTATATATATACCTACATTTATATACATGCTAGCTTTAAGACTGTGCGACTTGTAAAGTGGGTTTGCATATTAATTCTACCGGCAATCTTTTCCCGTGTCTCTCCATGGCCGCTAACAATCAATTAATATAAACTCTCATCGTTTGACTTGCAATACCGTACACCCTATATAAACATAGTGCCTAGATCTATGGTGTAGCTTTTAAGTGTGCGTAACTGGTGTTAGTCGCAAACGGGATAAATCTCTCTACTCTATCACTATATCTATCCCTCGATATCAATATCTCTCACTGTTTGTGTGTTATCTGTCATCACTAATTTAGTCGGGATCAGCTAGATCTATAGTCTAAAGCTTGTTGTAAGTTGGGGCGCTTTAGTGTCTATGCATATATAGTGTGTCTAGTCTGCATAATCGGATGATAACTGGTTACTGGTGATCCCTGCAAAGTGCTTGTTAGCCCTAAGACTGTCTTAACTCTTGAGAAATTGTTTTTTTTTTCAAAATCAATTGATAATGGGAGTTAAACAAAATGATTTAAATTACTTTTAAAATTCTGCAATATAAGATATGAAATTTCTTTTGAGTTAAAACAAGTGTTCAGTTAACGAGCGTTTTGTAAAATATGTACCCACATACGAGCTTTGGTCGGCGTCTTCCAGGAACAACTCCTGATTTTCCCAAATCCCAAAAAAAGCCAGCTCAAAACTTATAAACCTTTCTGCTCTCCTGCTGCGTCTAACACTCAGTTTCGCTCGGCTTGGGAAAATCGAGCTTAGCACGAGATAGGCATGGGAAAGATAGTCTGCGCCTAGCCTAATCCTTATTAGCCTAATTTAACCACTAGATTTATGTAGTATGGCAATCGAGTGGCTTCCGAGCGGGTTCTACAGCCACTTTAAAGAAACACATAATCAATAATATCTACTTAACTAGTTTGTACGCACAGAAATTTTAAATGTCTTTTTGGAATTTTTACGATTTTTGATATTCCAATCTTTTTTACCACTAGATGTTAGTAAAACAACCTTTGATTAATTTTTTACATCAATAAAATACGACATACCGCCTAAACTAAGCCCGCTCTCTCTCTCTCTCTCTCTCTCTCACTCTGTCACCATCTCTATCGCTCTATTGTGTGTTGCCGGAAGAGTAGAGGATCGAACCCAGACCTACTAATAACCAACACGAAATCATAATGGGTTTAATCCCTTACTAACTCAGTCAATCCCCAACCGATAAAAGAATTCCTGCTCCAGAGATCCCTATTCCCTTCCTGTACCCCCCACCGTTCCCTCATTCAAACACCTATATGTACATGTAACTGGGGTTTTGGGCTTGGGCTTAGCTTTACACTCGATCGCGTTTTCAGCGCCTCGTCCGAAGGGCCAAAAAGCTGGGAGTGGATATCCGGAATCGGCATTTGGAGTTTGTTTGGTTTCTGTTTCCGTCACTGTTCTAGCCACATAAATACTCTCGTAACTCTAAGTGGAATGTCCATCATGATCGTACTAGTCATAGTCGCATCCTGTATGTAACTCGACGCAGTCTGTTCCTTCGGGCGCATTCTATATAATCAATTACGGCCCGTCAGGGTCTGGTCTGGTGCTTGGATTAAACAAAATACAATCGAACAACAAAAATAATGATAAACAAAATCAAAATCAAATTTACCAAACAATCGGCTAAACATGTTCAAAATTTGTTCTCGTACTTGTGCGCAACTGTTTCATGGTCTCTGGGTGAGGTGGTAAGATACTCGTTCCAAAATACCAACTATATATGTCTCTCCTACCATTTGCAATGTCTAAACGGTGAGTGATTTGAATACAACTTTGCCCCTGCTAACCGACTAACAAACTGGCCAATTAATTAAGGCGATAAGAGATCACTAACTAACCCAGTAACAACTACAATGACAGATTGAGAAACGAACCGAGAACGGAGTGACTGAATAACCACTACAGGAAGCACCGCAAAAGCTGAGCAGATCGGCTGATGTGTACCTTCAAAAGCACGCATATATACCTGAATACTTTGTATATGTCAGCTGACGCCTTTTCCCCCCTTTTCAACAAGCAAAAGCCATACTCACAGCACTTATTACCCCAGAGTTCTTCAAAGGAAAACCCCTCCTTTTTCGTGTTGGAGATTCCCTTCAAAGGCTAAGAATTCAGCGCAATAACACTCTCTAATTGTCTTCTAATAGGTGCCACTGTGCTAGGCGCCCACTTCGGCGGTCCCTTCCCGGCCTACGGAGCGGCCCCGCCGCCTCATACGCCCCTGCTGGCCACGCCCCGCTCGCACCACCATCCGCACCACCACCCGGCGTCCGCCTTCTACCCACCGCCGCTCGTCTACTGGCCCTACCCGAGTCCGCCCGTCTCGCCCACCACCTACTACAGCCAGCCGGGGGCGCACTCGCCCTCGCAGCCTTTGGTAAGAAATGGGGGGAAATATCCACACTCCCCAAAAGTAAGATAACATACAGGAAATGCCCGTGAAAAAGACTTTTAATCTAAGTATTCAGACTTGAGTATGCGAGCTATTCGAAATTTGTTTACCATTTATTTTTAAGAAGCTATAAAATATACAGCCAATTTCAAATTATCTATGCCGACTAAAATTACAAAACTCGCAGGGCGTAATTACGTAAATGGTGGCATTTATATTTTTGAAATAACTTTATTTTTTGACAGTACTTATTACGTTTTTTATTTATGTTTATATGTTTAAAAGTGGTTACAAGACTTCTCTCTTAGTATAAAATAATAGTCCATTTTTGTGTTCCATGGCTACAGACATTGAAATTAAATAGAGTCTTACAAATTATTTCCTTGTTTATTACTATTGCAGTATCCGCTGGACTTCTTTCCGCCCTCCCCGCTTTCGCCGCCCAGCGTAGCCATTCCGCACACCAGCACTGGGCTGATACTCACGCCCACAAAGGCGGCCGTGTCCTTTGTGCCGCCCAAACAATTTTCGCCAACGACGACCGGAAGTGGAAGTGGTGGGAGCGGGAGCTCTAGTTCCGGCAAGCTTCCCATTCAGGTGATGCCAGCGGTTCTGCCAGCGATCGCTTTGAATGGGACGATGGAGGTGGCCACGCCCACAACGCCTGCAGAGGCGACTGCTACGTCATCACAAACGCTGCTGAGCATAGACACGAACCATGTGACGCCCACGACCGCCGCTGCGCCCCCACTAAAAACGGGTAGCCAGGGGGTGCCGGGGGCGGCTGCCACGCCCATCGTGAGCAACTCCTGCGTGGAGCTTTTCATCTCGTAGAGCTGCACACGGAAAGTCGAGTTCTATTTTCTTGCCAATCGAAGAAACCTAACCGTAGTCTAGTTAAGAACCAAACGCCCCCAACGACCACGGCTCTAGCCGAGTCGCACACCAGCGTGGTGAGTTCGAAGGCGGCGAAATATAGTTCGAAGTTCGAATTTAATAAATGGCAATGACAACGAGCTAAACAAATGGAATCTCGCCGCCGCCTCACGAATTTCTATAATAATTTACCCGCTAGTGCTAAGTAGTTAGGCTGCCCAGTGCAACTCATTCGATGTTATATTTATTCTGCTGCTCTGCATTGCATTCTATCCAAATATACACATTAGCCAATTAGCAAAGAAACGAAGCAAATGCGACAAATTTATCCCTAGTCAATAGACAAATTATTTATACAATTATCAATTATCTATTTGTAATTGCATGTTAATGTTATCGAGGCCGCCAAATCAGTCAGCGATTATCCATGTTTTTATCCTTAGGCATAGATCAAATCAAATATCGTTACTATCCATTATCCTTGTGCACGCCCAGAAAAACGCCAGAAGACAATCTGTCTTGTTTGTTAGCCCCATTCGCAATGAAAAGATATTATCGTTTGTTCAAATCAAATATACAAATAAATTTATTTTAAACACAAAGTCGGCATTTATGAATTATTATCGGCAGCAGTGGCGTCGGGTTAGCAGAGCTCAACATTAATTTCGAGCCGGATGCAATTACAAATCAATTAATGGCAGGTGCAAGACGGCATCATAAATAATCCCGTGCGGACACTGATAAATCGCTGACAAATGGCGTTACAAACGGACGAAAGTCCCACCGACCTGTTTAAAGGACACGGTCGTTGTGAACCATCATCCGGTCGCACCAAACCATTACCATTTAAAATAGATTAAAAGTCGTAGCAGGTGAACGGGTTAGTTCTATGCAGGCAGCGTCAACATCATTTGCTGCAGCTGGCTGGATGGCTGCATCCTCGTACTTCCTGTGCTTCGGCTCACATGATAATTTATCAAGCTGTGGCGCCGCTGCAGTGGACACCATTTCCTCCTCCGGTCACCAGTTCAGTTCAGTTCCCGCATCCTGGAGAGCCTATCAAAAGGACATTAGGCGTGCCGCTCTGCTGACAAGTTGGCCCGCCTGCGAACAAGGAAAGTAAATGAAAGAGCTTCGGTTAATGCGCCAAGGCCAAACGGAAAAATATGAGGCCAGCGATTGCAGAAGTCACGCTTTTTTTTCGATCTTTTGTTTTTTATGGCCTGGCCGCACACTTGACTAGCCAGCGCCGCCCTGCACTTCCTCTAATGGCTCGGAAATGGCCGTATAAATCTCATTTGTAATCGCAAAGCCGAAAAACTATCGCCAGACAACGCCTCAAGTAGGCAGCCCAAATAATGGCGAACTTGCCGCGGAAGAGTTGCAAACTTTTGCGGCCCTGCCACTCGAAACTAAGTCAATAAAAAATCTAGTACGAGTATAACCCAATGGCGGAAGGCGGTGCAGCGGGAATGCAATAACAAGGACCTCAATTGGCGGCGGCATATTTTCGACGACGACTTAGCGACTGTCGTCGCCACTGGCGGGACCGCTTCCGCTTTGGTATTAAGCCATCGAAACTTTTATTGATTTAGGGGCTTTCGCTGCATCCCAGCGAGCATTTCAGTTGAGAGGCCTGCCGGAGACAAGAGCTGAAAAGAAATGAAAATCACTTTGCATAGCTCAAAAATGTAAGCTGGCCAAGAATTCCTAAATCATGACAAATATTTGGAGCCCATCTTCTTGGTTCTTGGTTCATTCTTCCCTTAAAAGTGGATCAAAGTATTTATTAGAAAATGAAATCGTAAGAATTTTTAATGAGAGCACTGCAGTATTTTAAATATTGATTCTACGATAGAGAAACTTGGTCGTTAGGGATTAAATATTAAAATTTAAAATATGTTAAAAATATATTTTGATTGTCTTGGTTCAAATTTCTAGGTGAATACTAATCTCTTAATTCTTGTCTTCGATATAAACTGATTCGCTTTTCGTGTTTGCCCATCAAACAAAAACAGGACCCAACACCTGCATGGCAATTTTTGACCAAATATTTGCCGAGTAGCTCAAACAACGCCCCTCCGATCCTCCGCTCGCCCTTCCTCAGGCCAATTGTGTCTCCGGTTGTTGTCTGGCTCAACAAAAAATCAATTTCGGGCACATTACCAGCCTGGCAACTTGATTTTATTATTTACTCGTATTTGCCGTTTGACAGATTCGCCTGGCTGCCCTCAACAGCAAAAAAACAACAAAAATTCAAGCGCACTCACATCCGAACGAGTAAATCGGAAAAGCGAGGGGCTTTAAAATTGCCCAAGGGGCCCAAGTAAAATGACTGCAGTGCGCCTTTCGCAAAGGAGCAGATAAATCGAAATAATAAGAAAGAACAAGCACAGGAAAAAAAAATATAAACGAAACGAAGCGAAATCCATGTATGTTTGCTCACAAATCTTGGGCAAATAGAACTGGAAAATTCAGCAGGGAAAAGCGGGGAAAGCGGCTGAATTTTACGTTTTCATTAGAGACTGTCTCGGGGAATCCTTTTGGTTGCGAGATCCAAGTTTACTGCAACTTTATCCTATTTTACAAACTACTTTAGGCAATTGATTGTGTGCGAATGTGTGGCTGAGTGTGTGTGTGTGTGAGTCTTCGAGTATCTGTGAGTGTGAGTATCTGTGTATCTAAAAGGTGCCGGCAACTGAGCCAGCGCTTTTTGATGTCTCTGCTGTGTGCTTTCTTTACTTTATTTCTTTTTTTCGTTCGCTGCTACTCTTTGCTCTTACACGATTTCATTTACTTTGTGTAGCACAAAGCCTAAGCACTCTATGTGTTGGTGTGAATTGCCAGGAGTGTGTGTGAGTGTCGCCCAGGATATCTTTGTATCTGTGTGTGGGTGTGTGTGTCTCGGAGGCAATGAAGTGCATTTGAAGCGCACTTGATGCACGTACGGCACGCAGCGCCTTTTTAGACGTATTGTAAATGACTGCAGTGGGTGGCAAAGAGGGGGCGTGTGAGGACAGCGCGGTTCGTTAGTTTGACACACACACACATATATGGGAGAAAGGAAAAAGGAGAGAGCGCCATACAGACAGACAGGAAGCGAGTGTGTGTGTGGGCGTCTGTTTGATAAGTGGCAGCAATTTTTTTTAACCCCCCGTCAGCTCTTTTCTTTCTTATTTCTTTTTACGCCTGCACAGTGAGAAAATGTCACCAGATCAGTAATTGAATTTGTTTTCTTTTTAAATATATATCTAAAAAAAAAAGATAAATTTTCAGCACAAGAAAAACGAGAAAAAACTTTGCAAGCTATGACCTAAAAATTATAAATCCCTTTTGGAACAGCCTCTGCCAAGACCATCTAAATATTCAAGAATGATTTAATCTATATTTTATATTCCTGTTATAAAACTATATATATTCTCAAAGATCTGCTATTGTCTTTGTGTTTTAAGAAATAAAGATTTGGATATTATTCTTAAACGAAATAATACAATATCTATTACTTCTGTTCCATTTTTTGTCGGTAGCCAATTTTAACCATTTTTTCTCACCATGCACTGCTGTTGCTTTTCGTTTTGCTTTTGCCCGGCTGACACTACGTCATCTCCTTGAACCATCCAGCATCTAGTATCCAGCATCCAGTCTCCAGTCGCCAGTTTTTCAGCCGTCGTCCTGCAATGGGGGCCACTAATGAAATTGTTAATTTTTGTTAGCAAAGTCACGTACACGATGTGTTGATGACGCTGAAGAGCCGTCGACGCTGACGCCGCTGGCAATTGGCCCGGGCCAAGGAAAATCTGAGGTGGCCAAGGGTTCTTGGGGGAGGGAGAGATGCTTTTTGCTTTGGGATGGGCCAATACCACTCATAAGTTAAATGGCCCTTGTAGTTTTTATGGCCTGCCTTCGACAAATCGCTGACTGGCATATTTATGAGCAACAGTTTTCCATTAGCATTCGATTACTTATTGGGAGTTTGGAACAAGGAATAAGCGCAAAGTTTCAAGTGATTTGTATTTTGCAGCAATCTACAGATATAGATATACAGATACAGACGGGAACACGTGCAGCAACATACAGAAAAGACATCAACAGCCAAAAAGCGAAAAAGTCGCATTGCAGCTATTTCTGTTACGCTTGCCAACTGCTGCCAAAAAGAAGGTCCTGCCATTAATACCGTTTACCTCGTGGCCTCTCAGTCGTCCTTTTTTGCCGTCCCTGTTCCACTGCCTTGGCACGTAGCCATTGCAATTGTTGTTCGTGCTGCAGTTGCTGTTGTTGCTTTTGCTGTTGCTATTGCCCAAATGCGAATTACGTATACGCCAAGTGGCCCGCTGGCTGCTTGCCTGACTGTTTCGCCTCAGCTGAGCTGCGCTGAGTTCGGTTTGCATTTGTTTGGCATTGCATTTATTCGGGATTCTTTTTCCATTCCTTCCTTGCGGACTGGTTTTTATTTCGGCCATTGTGCTTATGCACAAGTGCAGAACGAAACAAAACTGAAGGCGCTCCTTTTGTTAAGTTTGCATAAATTAGAATGCATGAAATTTCATTGCAGGACGAGGGCACCAACAATTAAGTGGTATTTGTGGAGCATATGAGCGCGCGCAGGCAAATTTGAATTTTTATGGCACACATTTGCAGGCGGGGATTACAGATGTCGACGTCTTGGTTGGTTTGGTTGGCTTGGTTGGCTTGGTTGGCCATCGTCTCATCACTTTTCGCTTTTTGTTTTTCAATTTGCAATCTGCGTGGACGGCCATTTAGGATGCGGGCACTCCCACGATGCTTTCACGTAATCCGTTTAAATACATAATAAATAACGGCATGGAAATTTGCATGAAAAGCCGGAGCAACCGGAATAATGTGCGATATACGAGGAGAATGGTGGGGGTCTCACGTATTTTCGGGGCAATCATGAGCATGCCATAATGCCTGTGACCACGACTATTAAATCAACACGCGGTGCCAGGCCAAAACATTGGCCCAAATGGCAAAACGCTGCCAACAATGTAGCTGGAAATAATATTACATATATAGTATTCACACACACGTATGCCATACATGTGCGTATGAAAATATATATTTGCCATGATTTATTATTATTCCGTGCGGTTGTTCTTCTCTTGCTTTTTTTGTTGTATTCTGCTATTATTTAAATTTTAAATAGCTGTAAAGTGCACACATACTCGCAACTCCCACTAGAGTGTATTTCGCTGTGGCCATTAAAACGTTTGCCTTTTCAGCTGCTGTTGCTGCTTTAGCTGCTGCTACTGCTGCTACTGCTGCTGTTGTGTCATTATTATTATCGTTCATTGTTTGCTGGCATGTTGTTGTTTGGCAGCCATTTTGTGGTAAATAGAGTCGTTTAAATGCATACACACACACACACACACACATACAGCTCCAGCTAGCGAGATTTTATAATAACATTCATAATGCAACGTTTGCATGTCATTCGCAACAGCAACAGCAGCAGCAACAGCAACAGCAACAGAAACAGCAATTGCAACTGCAAGCAGTAAGGACACGCAAATTGCAATTCGTGTAGCATACTTTCCAGGGCACTCGCTCAAGGGTTAATGCAATTCAAGTAAAATAAGCACGACAGCTAATGGAATCAGCTGAATCCCGGGGATTTAATAAACTATGCAAAGTTAAAGACTGAGACAGCTTTCAGCCTTCAGCTTTCGGCCTCATTACATGTCACCCCAGCGATGAGTGTGTGTCTTGGGTGCTTAGCGGATTTTCCTTTTCCTTTTTCCTTGTTCCTTTTACGCCTGCCAAATACCAATCATTTTAGCCATGAGCTCTATCGATTTTTGGAGGCCAAAGTTATTAGGGCCTCGCGACAGGGAAAATGTCCAAATGCCTGTACTGTAGATTTCATTATCATTCCGCTGGCATACTAACCTGGGCGTTAGCTGCAAATTGCAGCTGCTACCCCAGAAATTGCAGCTACATCAGCCCGAGAGCCCGAAATGAAAAAGCAACGCAAATCCAAGAAAGCCAGCAGCAGTGCTTTTATTTTTTTCTGCACGCTTCGATGGGAGTGAGTTGAGGAGGAAAAGCTGGCTCCGACATAACTGCCATTGTGCCAGGGCACTGAAAATAGAATGGCGAAATAAAACAAATAGAAATTTATTGCCTGGAATTTATGACAATTCTCGTTCCGCTTTCAACCGATGCACTCATGTTGCCTGCATGTGGCCCAAACTCAAATGTTTTAAATTAAAAATAGTGGTAAAGGCAAGGAGGCCGCTCTCGGGGAGATTTTATGACGGGAACAGTGAAACTGACTGCAAATAATTCGCAGAGATATAAAAGCCATCTTAAAACTATTTATTTAAATACCAAGAGTCTATCGAAATGCAAATGATATGAAATATAAATGTTAAACATAAACATATACATAAAATGGTGGCTGCAAAAACAAAAGGTAAAGTCGCTAAAGGTATTTATAAACTCATAGAGCAACGGAATAACATTTTTGATTGAACTTTTTACGATTATTGAGTCAAATAAACTGTAAAATCAAGTACAATTTCAATACCATTATTAAAAACATTTTATAAAGACTGTAAATACAAGAGTTAAAGCGACTAAAAGTAATTGATAACTCAAAAATTATTGAGGTAATTATTCTTAGTAATCATTTAAAAAACAATGTGATTAATTTGGATTTTATGTGTTTCGATAGACAAGTAGTTAAGAATTTAGTGAATAAATAAATAGAATAATTAATTTCAATCGGATAACGATTATTATTTCAAATCCCTAAGTATTCCAATTTAAAACTTGATCAACTCAGCAAAATCTAAACCTGGCCGATAATTACGGCAGCAGGCGCAGACCTTAAATGCTTTTTCATTTCGCCTGGCATTCAAGATGGCCCTGGCGGGGATTTGCTGGCACATGTTCAAGTGCTATTCCCTTGGCCCAGGGTGTGCCATTCTTTTTTCTTTGTCTTTCCGCTGCTGGTGGCGAATTCGGCTGCCAAGTGCCAAAGTTCTGCCAGGCGGCACTTAAAATGCATTTTGCTTCTTGGCCAGCGACCATCCAGCCATCCAACCATCCAACCATCCACCATCTTCCATCGTCCATATTCTGCTGGGGCTGCGTCTAATTCGATTAAAATGTTGTAAATTATTGCACTCGCATCGGGGCACCTCTTATGTGTCTGTTGTCTGTGTGTGAGTGTAAGTCTTGGCCATATTATATAATGCTTTATTGAATTTGCAATTCGAAATGGGAGTGGAAGAGGGGTGGCGAAATGGAAAATGTGTTTTCAATGAACGTTTTTGTGCGTTCGCCCATAAATCTCTGCCGATGGCCAGGCCAAAGGACATCTATAACACACACTCCTTGAGGAGGATGCATGGCGAAATGGAATTGCAATTCCCTGACATTGGCAGGCGAAGATCGAGGAGTCCACATCCACATCCACGTTCAATTGCCAAATAAATGCGTATGGTCGTAACTTAAAAATCAATTTTACCCAAGCATACATAATGCATCCATTCATTTAGTCATTTACGCACTCAAAGTATGACAGGAATGAAATTTCAGGCACTGGGACGCACATGGGGAATATCAAAATTGCTCTGAGCCCGGCAATCAAATGTGGTAATTTAATTTATTGTTTATTTGCCATGAATCAAAAGGAGGCAGAAGAAGGAGAAAAGAAGGAGCATATGCCGCAGGATAGTAACCGAAACGAACTAAATAAATAATACGTGTCCCTGCTGCTGCAGTCATAAACGGTACGGAACGGAACGGAACTCAGACGAGCTAAATTGATATTAATGATTGTTTGTCCAGGCATCCAGAGCCTCATCCTCCGGCAATCCCTTACCTGATTCGCATCCAGATATCCAAAGGGATTTCATCCTTGTCTTATCTGCAAATATCAGAGTGATGGACAAACGGAAATTAGTGGAATATTCAGTGATTACAAACAGCTCATTAAGCTCTGCTATTGTTGCGGTTGCCCATCGAAAAGTCAATCAACTTAATTACAAATAAATAAATGTTTTAATTAAAAATCAATCACAAACGCAAGGGGCCGAGAGTGGAAATTAAAATTCAATTAAGTGCGGCCGAAGGGGTTTTGTGTTTTCTTTTTGGGGACGCCGTAGGTGCAAATAATACGCATACGCAGCGCTGGACGCGTTGCGATTATTCATGTTTCATTGAGCAATTTCCAAGTAAAAGTATTGCATGCATAAATCATTGCATTGTTTTTAGATACTTGCACCTGGCCGCAGTCGCAGGACTCGCCAGGATAATGTCAGCATAATTGTATGCGTGCACAATATTTATTATTTATCGCCTCGGGCAGGACGCGAACGTCCTTTGTCGCCACTCGTTGTCCTCGCCGCTGGCGATAATGGGAGCAAGTAACTTTTAATTTTAATTTAAAATGCAGTTTGCCCTAGCATACGTGTGTGTGTGTGTGTGTGTGTGCTCTGCACACCACTCAGCCGCGCCCACACGCCCACTGTCCACTTGTCTGTGTTTATTCACGAAATGAGTTTTAAATTAATGCGATTTTGTTATTTATGAGCGGTTGCCACGCGGCGTATACGCAATGTTAAATCTTAAAGCTGCCCATTGACTTGTGCATTACGTTTGAGCCAGATTTGTCCCATTTCCATCTCTTGCATCTCTTTCCCCGCCATTTTCCCGCTCTCTTTCTCTCTGGCCAGTGGCCACACAAACAATTGAACTAATTTCCCAGCAGGCCATTCGAGCCTTTAGCATCGAATTCGGATCTAAATTGCAAACAAATCAATTGCTGGCCGCAAACAGGAAATCACCAAATGCAGCTAGAGAGAAGGACTGGGCTTTGGAGTGGCAGAAAGAGACGGCAGCCTCATGGCCAGAAAGAGACGGGCGAGCACACACACACACTGCAGCTCTTGCAAATTGCATTGCCATTGCATTTCATTTTCTGTCTGAGTTTAAACTCATTAAATATGCAATAAATATCCAAGCTGCAAAGTGGAAATGAATACATTTGCTGCCTTGACACTGCTGCACATCCAGCGTTTTCACCTTCCTCATTTGAAATTCTAATTGTTTTGCGAATTCATCAATGAAACCCGCTCTTTGCTCTCCATTTCGTCCTGCTCCTGTTGTCTCGTCCCCTTCGATTATACTTCCATTGGATATATCCGCACTTGATTTAAATGTATTACGTGAGCTTCAATTCGAACTCGTTGTTTGCCAATTGATAATAAATTGTAGCTGTCAGTAATTTTAATACCGTGTGTCTATCACACGGCCACGCCCCCTTGCCAGCCCACCTTTGATGGATATGTTTCGTTTTCAATGTGTGTCTACTATGAATAAATTCACCAAAATACTTTGTGAAAAAATGTTGTGAAAAAAAGCTTTGATTTCCCAAAAAAGACCTCTAGAACAGTATAAAATAATGCATTACATTTGCCATGTTTAATAAAAACATCACAGTTTAGTGAGTTTTTACAGATGAGTTTCCATGAACTCTATTTTACTTATTGAATTCAATTATTGAATTATTTAAGTATAGCATGCTAGAAACGAAAAAAATTCAAATTCAACTAGGTATTTAAATGAATTATTTCATGGAAGGATTTAATTTTACTTTCCGAGTGTTGAAATCTAAGCTTATACTCTTGATTCCCATTTTTTTTTGATACCCCTCAAGCTTTAGCTGCGGATAATTTGGGAGCCACAAGGCCAAGTTTCGGGCCGCGTCATTCCACGCACTTCCGGCGGCGTAAGGCGAATATTTGAAACAGGAGCGACAAGGGCCAAGTGTTTGAGTGTGGCACGCAACTCGTGTCCTGCGGCAGGCAGTGGGGCGTGGCAAGATGACAGGCGAACGCCTCGAGCGGCACAAGTTTGAAATGCGACCGCTTCAGTGCAGCTGCCCCATAAATACGCCACGCCCCCTCCGGGCGCTGGACATTTCCGCTTCCGCCAAACGAGACAAAGCGCTCAGAGAGTCAACATTTAGCAAGCCATTTGATACAATCAATGATGTTGGCTGGCGGAGCAGGGCAAATAAACCAAATTGGTCGTGGGCTGGCCCTCTGCGGAATCTCTTATTTATAATCACTCACATCCGAGGAAAATGAGCAGGAAAAACCCAATCCCTGTTTGCTTTTCGGCCTTTTTTGGCTTGGGCGTGGTGCTGGCCAAATTATATGGCACTTTAATTTGCGTGTGCTTCGCTTTGGGCGCGTTTAATGATGCGTGAGGGAGAAAAATCCAGGAAGTCGGAGCAAAATGCCAGGAGACACGTGCTGGCGAAGGGGAATTAATGGAGCTGCCATTTTACAGGAGCTTGCACTAATTAAAACTGACTTGGCCAAATGCAATGCCAAATAAGGCGCTTAGTCGTGTCCAAAAATGCCAAACTGTCGCCGGCAAGCGGCGCCCAAAATCTTTTTGCCACCGAGAAAGAGGCGTTCTTTATGCAATTATGATAATAACAATGAAACGCCTTTTTGTCTGCCGGAATGTTGCAAAAGTTTGCAAGTGCATAATTTCCAAAAAGAGCCTTGGAATCCGGAATATAGAATCCGGGCCTCTGGAATCTGCAGTTTGCTTTGGCCGTGCCTCACACATAATGAAATAATTGCTGCGACAGCCAGGCCATTTGCAGCAGTGAAAGAGGCAAAAGATTGCCAACAATTTTAATATGGCCGAGAAGCAGAAAGTTTCCCAAGCAGCAGCGCCGACATAATTTAATAAGCAGTCTGCTGCACTTTTCGCTATGCCATTCCTTTCAATTTATGTGGCATGCGGAATATTCAATTTTCACACACACTCATCCTGGCTAACGAAAACTTCTCTTCTTTTCGAGAAAGCACATTCTTTTGGGCGGCTTAACTTAATTGCCGAGAGCTGCAGACCATAAACTTGAGCTTATTGGCAGCCGGATAAACTTGGCTTGTAATTGAGCCCCGAAACCCGAGCGCAAACAGATAAAAGCGGGACACACTCCTTGAGTCGACCATTTGCAGCTAATAAATTGTGGATGCCCCTACATATGCATTACATGTGTAATTTGTAACAAAATTAGAAGTTGGCTGCGGCAAAAAATAACGAAGAGGAATGCTGCGCTGCAGAATGAACTGGAACTGAAACTGAATCTGCACACACATTCTGCGCCTCTTCACTTTGCGAAGACGGATGGCAAAGTTGAGTCTCTGGCCAGATTAACTTGTAGCCGAGCAAACATGGTCTGTAGCCTTGCCTCCCCCTTTCTTTTTCTTCCTCCGAATGCAGTTGAAGAAATTGAAAAACTTTTCGCTCTCAGTGCTCTGCATTCTCATCCGTCAGTTGGCAAGGAAAATTGTTGAAAAGCAGCTTGGAGAAAAAAAATACAGAAAGAAAAAATAAAGGCAACCCACTCGCACACATACGCGACTACATGGCACGCCCACTGCTGCATTGGCAACATGTGTTGCTCAACGCCTCTACTTGTACTACGGCTCGTATACGTTATATGCCAGGCGATGTACGTTTGGGTGCTGAAATTACACAACTTGACTGCTATAAAATTCAAATTAACTCCTCGCCGAGCCAAGGCTTCTGCTTTTCCAGTGTTTCAGTGTGTGTGCGAGTGTGTTTTATGCTGCCTTATGCAGCAACCGGGAAGTGGGAGCAGTGGGGCCTGGTTCACTCTAATATGAAAAACGAAAACAAATCTTAATTAAAAATTATTGTTGACGTTTGGCGCAACGCGCACTGCACTTTTTCTCCCCTTCTCCAGACTCATTTGGCTCGTCTCTCTTTTATGTCTGCAAATACACTTGATGGCAAAATATTAAATATTGGTGCCAACATTTGAATAAATATCTAACCCATTCATAAAAAATATAAAGTTTTTTTTGGGGCTAGCTACAAATTGTAAGATTACAATTTATGTGTTTTTCTATTACAAAATATTTAAAAGAATATTAAATGTGATGGACAGGAAAAATATTTACAGAAAAATCTATACAGGAAAAGTTATTGAATAAATGAAATACAAATTCGATCATTTTATTATGAAAACCGTTAAAGTCAAACTCAGAGCTCGACAAAATTTCAATTGATTTGATTTGCTTATCAAGAACTATTTAAAAAGCTAACCACCACTGAATAGCTTCTAATCTGTATTCTGTATACAGCTGTATTTTTAAAAGGCTCAGTTTCTATTTTTTCGTCTCCGGCTGTTTGTGACTGCGTAATTCAGATGAGTGGGCGGCAAACGAGGCGGCGAAGCAATTAAAAAGCCAGCCAGCGCCTTCAACAAGTGTTCAAATGCTACGCCACACACACACACATTAGCCAAAGAATAAATACGCAGAAAATGCGGAAAATGCGGGGAAATACGGGAAATAAAGAGAGGGCAGGCCTAATGTTCCCCCATGGTTTTTATGGCGTCCCAGAGGCTGTGGGAATTGGTGGAGCCCGGCTCAGGTAAATATTTGATGGCATGCATAAGGTAAGTGACTCAAATTCCGTCATAATTCGCAGGACAGCTCCCACGAGAACCACGCCCCCATCCGAGCCCTCGAAAACAAATTGAATAATGGGTATGCGTAATTCGCACTGGCCTTAAAAGTCAATTAAAGTGGCTTAAAGCCACCGAAAGTGGTGGCCATTTTGAATTTTGAGTCAGCTCTCGAAAAACCCTTAACCCTCCAACGCCCCCTGTCCCATTGGATTCCCTCTGGTGGGGCAACTCCAAAGTTTTGTTGCAGCAAAAGTTTTGTTTAACTTTGTTACGCTTCTATTTTTTATGTGATATTAAGAACGCGTTTAACCCCTTGCCCTCGCCTTCATTTCAGAGTAACTTTCGGCGCACACACATACCGTACATATAATATCATTCTAAAGTATCCCTATATATATATATAT